GGACTGGGGAGGATGGGTGGGAAGGGAAGGATAAGGGTTTGGAAAAAGAAAGGGGGCATTATGATTAGCATAGTGTGGGGGGTGCATGGGGAGGGCTGTGCAACACAGAGAAGACAAATAGTGATTTTACAGCATCTTACTACGCTGATGGACAGTGACTGTAATGGGGTCTGTGGGGGGGACTTGGTGAAGTGGGGAGCCTAGTAAACATAATGTTCTTCATGTAACTGTAGATTAATGAGACCAAAATAAAATAAAAAATAATAATAATAATTAAAAAGAAAGGAAACTAAAAAAAAATAGAATGTGTCATCATTGAGATATGGCATACAGCTCCCCACATTATGTTGCAGGAGCTCTTGTATTTTTTTTGGCAGTACCTCTGGGGACACTATGTTGGGGAAGTAAACCCTAAATAGGCTCCATGATTCTCATGACCAATTACTGAAATTCATAGCAGCTTCATTTATGTCCACTTTAGGTGCTGGACTTTAGAAGATCTTCTTTGAGAGTGGCTTCTCTTGAGGGAGGGTGAAGTCTGAGAAGTACAATTTAGTCTCACCTTTGTGTTTTATATATGAGGAAATGGTATCTCAAAGTGGGGGTGAGTGACTTATCCAAGGGCACAAAGTGAAATCATGGCAGTGGCAGAGTGAAACAGTACCTCTGACTTGCAGGAAATTCCTTTCTCCATTCCCTAATTTCTACCTATGGCACAGTTTTGGCAAGAAGGATGACCTGCATTCACTCCTGGGGAAAACCTTTCTTTTGTTCCAATTTGCATCCCGGATGACCTCGATGAAGGACTGTGTACTCACGAGGATCGTAGTGACGATGTATGTTCGATTCTGGACACTTGAGTTATCCCCACCGGCTTGAGCATCAGTGGCTGCAGGGACAAACTTATCATCTTCACTCCAGTAACCAATCTGTTAGGGAGAGGAAGGTGATGACATAAGGTGAGGCGGGCTCCTCAGGACTGGCCTACTGTGGGCCAGCCAGCCAACACCAGGCAGGACCAGGAGCTCAGAATCACAGCAAGCAATATCGTCACACCAGGCTCTTCAGTATTGGTAGATGAAAACAAGAGGCAGGATGCTTCCAGTGCCTTCCAACCCCATCCCTGTGAAAATTCTCACCATGATGGGCTAGGTGGGGAAATGGCCTCATCAGAGAGGTGAGAGTTTCCCTTTTTATACACTAAACTGTTTTGTACAGTGCAAGCCAGGGCTGTGGAAATTTAATCTCATGCAGTTGTCCCCCGAGCCAAAGCCCTCCTTCCCCATACCTATTAACCCTTTCCTTCTGAGCTTGCTCTGAACTGTAGCTGGAATGATGATTTAAACATTGCGTTCCATTTGCTTTCTTTTTTAGGTTAACTGTATTTTTCCATGTATATTTACTTTAATAGGTGATGGTTATTTCATCCTTTATTTTTTCTCATATTTTAATCACGAACCATTATAATACTGAACATATAGTAGTGCCTACAAATACTGGCTGACAACATTATATTTTTAAAACCAGTAGGTTATTTATACCAACTCATTTTCCGAGGTCTTTCAGCAAATATTTATCAGATCCTATTTGGTGTAAAGCTCTAAGCTAAAATACTGGTGGGTATTGTGTGGCAGGTCTGAGAGGGATAACAAATAAGCTAAAGAGATGTAGTCCTCGTGCTGAGAATCCCTCCAGCCTCCTGAGGAAGGCACAGCACACATACAGTCCCAGAGTGAGAAGTGAGAGGGCTCGTGGCTGCAGGCGAGAAGGTAGGCTCAGCTGGCCTGGGCCGAAGGGGTTCAGAAAAGCAGAAACCAAGTATAGGAACCTATGCTGGGGAAAATGCAGCAGCACAAGGTGAGGGAGAAGGTCATGAGGGATGGGCTAGTTGGCCCCAAACCTTTCAGGTCTGAGAATACGAGCCAAGATGTGAAGGCGGGGATCTGCTCACTATGTTGGTTCACTGGGTCTGGCTGGGGCACAGAGTTAGCCCAAGAGGGCACTGGGACTTGGGTCTAGTAGCAGAAGTATTTGAAGGCCAGGCAAAAATGGGGTAGACTTCATCCTGAAGGCAGTAGGGAGACATGGAAGGCATGTGAAATGCAGAATGGCACAGCTAACACACACACACACACACACAGATCTCTGTCTTTGTCTATATATATCTTAAAACAGTTGTGTTCTGTTTTGTGCTCATTCTGCTGGCTGTAGGTGGAAAAGGTCAAAGATAGGAGAGCTGGAACGCACGTGCAGAGGCATGAGCAGGGATCCCAATAGCCAGAACTCTGCTCAGGCTCACAGATCAAGGCACACGCCAATCAGTGGTCAATGCAAATGTTACCTTCACCTTGATGTCCCTGCCTGTGACCTCTCTGCCACTAACAGCAATAGTAGTTGCCAGCACTGACTATGTTCTTGCTGTGGCTTTGTGCATTTCATCTGGCTTAGGGGAGTTTGTTATTGCCCAGGCTGGTGCAGCTGGGAAGTGGCTGAGCTTGGCCTGGAACCTGCAGTCTGTCTGCAGTGGCAGCCCCTTGCCACTATGCTGTTCTTGCTACAAAGGGACTGGGCTCTGGGCTGAGAGTCATATTAGGTAACATTTATCAAGTGCGTATCATGTTTCAGGCACTCTTCTAAGTGCTGTTTATGTTTTAAACTCTTCCATCCTTACAAAAACCAATGCAGGAGGTAGTTACGTATCGTTCCATTTTAAATATGAAGAAACTTAGATGGGGATAAGTGAAAAAACTTGCCCAAGGCCTCTGGAGGGTCATGGAGCCAGACTCTGAGCCAGGAAAGGACCTACAGGGCCATGCCCTGTGGTGCCCCAGCAAGCTGCCAGCTACCCTGGTGCCTCGTGTAGGTTCCAACTGGCCCTGTGATTGGCTGTTTGCATGTCTGTCCCCATCTCTCCAAGGTGCTGCAGGCTTCCTACAGACAAAGCCAGAGGTTTATTCATTCTATGATCCCTTTCTGGGTCCAGCATATTCCTTCCCAGAGAAGCAGCTCAGGAAATGTTTGTGGAGAGAACGAGCAGATCCGACGTGGACACAGTGGACACTATTGGTGCTGAGACAGTTCAGAGGCCTGTGGGGAGAGTCTCTCTCTCAGGACACTGGGTCACAGTTTACCCTCAGCATAAGCATGTACAAGCTGTTCCCTTTTGGGGGTCCTTGTAGGTAGCTTGGAAGGAGACATTTATTTATAATACACAGATCCAGATACTTAGATTTCAAGAGTGTCAGAGTTGGAAGAGACCTGAAGAATCTTTTCTTTTGCCCACTTCCTTTTACAGAGAGGAAAGCAGAGGCTCAGAGACCAAGGACTTGCTCAAGTCCAGAATGCCGTCTTACTCCACTCACTTTGCTGGGCTGGGGCACCCTGGAACCCCAGGGCATCTGCACAGCCCCTTCCCCACTGACCCTGGAGGCACCTGAGGGGTTGGGGTGGAGGGGGGAAGCTCTGCACTCCTGCTTCAACAATCAGCTCTGCTTTTTATCTAGTTTACATATTGGGATTCTCCTCAGTAGTTCATTTTTGTAAGGAACATTCTGGCTGCAAAATGTTTAACACCACTATTATATATCATGATACAAGCTTTAAAAAAGAAATTCCAAAGTACTTCCATGATATTGAACTCTTTGTTCCAAACACTATGCAGATAGCACAGATGGGCTTGGGACTATTTTCTCTGTTTTACAGATGAGAAAACAAAGGCTTGGGAGATCAAATGATCTAATTTATATAGATTATGTAGCAGATCAGTGGCAGGCCACAGAAGCTAGGTCATGGACCTTGACCTTAAGGTTACTTAATAGAATCAATACAAATCTGGGAGAAGGTCTAGCCAGTGGAGTTGTCATTCATCCTCCCATACCTGATGTTAAGGTATTTTCATTCCCTTGCTTTCTCTCCCTCTTCCTTTTTCTTCCTTCCCTCCCTCTCTCCTTTCCTTCTTTCCTTCTCTCTTCACAATTAGTCACAGGTTTAGCTGTTCAAACTATACAACCATCATTATAGAGGAAGTTGCCTCCTTTGACATGCAAAATTGATTTCTCTAAACTCTACAGTTGATTAATAGGTATTTTTAAAAGTGGGGGCTTGATGATCAAGGGCTTGGTCTCTGGTGTCAGATATACTAGGGTTCAAAGGTAGATTTTCCTAATTACTAGCTGTATGACCTTGGGCCAGTTACTTGACCTCAGTGGGCTTCAGTTCCCGCTGTGGAGAGTGGGTACAACAAATGCACCCACCCCACAGGGCTGCTGTGGTGAGTAAGTGAACTAATGTGTGTACAACAAGGAGCATTGTGTGTGGTTCATATTCAGTTGTCAGTAAAGTAAAAAATGATATTCAATAGGGTAATGCCTAGTTGAAGGATAACAGACTTCTATACTACAAAACATTTCAGTTTTGATTTGCTGTTGAACATTATCTCCAAAAGAAGTATATATTATGGAGCATTTCTCAGACTCATTTGACAATGTATTCTCTTTACACACAGAATGTTCTAGGATAAATTGTCCCCAAACCACAAAACACTGCTTTAAAAATCTCAAGTTAGTTTGATAAAAGATAGGGGGAAAAGCAAGATAAATCTGTGTATACTAGATTTATATGGCTTAGAAAGAGACTTTAAATTTTAAGAATAGTATTACTTCAAAGATAGTATCATAGCACTATGATTGATCAGGATCTATAAAAATTATTGTATAGCTTGGCTTCTATATAGCTCCCTTGATATCAAAAGCTAGAGGAATAGTTAAATGTTGTAAATAAGCTTATTTTATTCCTAACCCTTTTGTAGGGAAATAAAACAATATTGCCAGCCAGAAGAGTCAGGAGATGCCAAAAACCCCCTGGTAACTCATGTAAGCTAGTAGCAGAGAAATCTGGTTCCACAGTTTGCTGAAAAGACAGCTGGCAAAGATTTTTGAAGAGGCGTTGCATGTCAGAGATGAGAGCAGATTTTACTTTCTTAGAGAAATGGGTTGGGTTATTATACAGCATTTTGATTCTCTACTGAGTATAGGCAGGAACTTTGATTCTGTCTGAAAGTAAATCAGAGCTAGCAGTTTGGTAAAGATGGGGGCCCACCATTCAGGAGAGGATTTAAACAATTCTGACAGTGAGAGGTCCTCTCCTGGGGCCAGTTATAATTTTTGATCTTCTGTTTCTCATCTACCTCTAAAGATTCTTTGAATGTAGGAAATGAGTCTAAAAACCTGATAGATGAGACTGTTCTAAGTGAATGAAGCCAAAAAAGGAGATGATCATAGAACAGTAAATTCAACTGATCTACCTTGCGCAGTCATCTAATCAGATTTTCACACTATGTATCTCTAGGCTGCCTTCAAAGACACAGTCCCTAACTTCCAAACATGAGATCCATTATAACACATTTTTTCAAAGTAAGTTGCCTAGTGTGGCAAAGATAACTAGAATGACCACTAAGGATTTTTTTTTTGCTTTCCATAGCAGAAAAGTGTTGGTGGGAAGTGGCTACCTAGGCAGCAATTACATCTCCCAGCCTGCCTTGCATCTAGATGGGCCAGGTGATTGGGTTCTAGCCAATGGAATGCCGGGGAAGCAATGCACATCTCTCCTTGCCTGGCTTCTCTAGATCTCCAGCACAGTTTCCCTTTCTTTCTTCCTTTTTGGCTACTGTATGTTGATAGCAAGGAAGACCCAAGCAGACAGTGGAGCCTCCATAAGCTGAGTCTTAACCAGAGCCCTCAGCCCTAAAACTGGTTACCAGGCAAACAAGAATTAAACCACTATCCCATTAAACAGCTTGAGATTTCAGAGTTTATCTTCACTAACACACCTAATGAATTTGAACTTAATTATGTTTATGTGTGACATAGATTATCTGACTTCTGCCAGAGCACTTATTTCATTAAATTTGCCACCATTTTTTTTTCCTTAC